GGGTACTTCTAACGTGGCCCATTTTCAAAATATCGCCAATTTGGTCGATAAACTTTTTCCTAGGGCGTCCCTTCCCGACTTGGCCATTCACATCTGCCATATAAATTTGCTTTGTCACTCTTTCCTCATTCATTCTTTCTACGTGACCAAACCACCGAAGCATTCCTTTCTTAATCCTGGTCACAACATCATCTTGCATACTACATTTATCTCTTATCACGCAATTTCTCACCCTGTCATTCAGATTACACCCTAGCATATTCCTTAAAGACCGCATTTCTACAGCATTTATTCTACTTTCGTGCTTCTTCTGCCACACCCAGCTTTCACTACCATACATTAAAGTAGGGACTAACACAGCATTATGAATTACCATACGTGCCTGTTTTGACAAATTCTGGTTCTTCATAATAGAGTGTAGTGCCCCATTCATTCTATTCCCTGCATTTACTCGTCGTTCTATATCCCTATCATATCTACCATCCCTGCTAAATACACATCCCAAATACACAAACTCATCCACTTGCTCAATCAACTCTCCTTCTATTCTTATTTCACATACCGTTTTGCTTTCTTCTCTTTCAAAAACCATCACTTTCGTCTTACTTGCGTTCACTTTCATTCCCCTTTCTTTTAATTCCCAGTTCATTAATGTAACCATCATTTGCAACTCTGCCGCCGATGACGCAAGTATGACTTGATCATCGGCATACAAAAGGCATTTGACGGTTAACTCGCCCATTCTTAACCCACATTCTTCATCTTTCAAAGTTTGCAAACACCGGTCCATAAATAGGTTGAACAGCCAAGGGGAAGCCACACAGCCCTGTCTGACACCTTTTTGGATGCCAAACCAGTCCGAGTAGACCCCATTGATCCTGATACAGGCACTAGAGTCCCTATAAAAAGACCTTAATGCCTGTATCAAACCAGCGCTCAACCCATATGAGTTCAGTGTTTGCCATAACACATTCCTGTCCACTCTGTCATAAGCCTTTTCCAAGTCCATGAACGCACAAAAAACTTTCTGGTTTTTGGCCAAAAACTTCTCCGCAATCATGCGCATGGAAAAGACTTGATCTGTACACCCCATTCCCTTTCTAAAACCCGCTTGCACATCCCAAATTTTTCCATCAGTTTCTTTCATAACTCTTTCAATTAACACCTTAGCATACAGTTTACCCACAATACTAAGCAAGCTGATACCGCGGTAGTTTTTGCAGTCCTGCTGTGACCCTTTTCCTTTATATATTGGTACTATAACTGCTTTACACCAGTCATCCGGTACCCGTTTTAATTCCCAACATAAATTAAACAAGGTGTACAGCAGGCCTGCCACCACTCCCTCTCCAGCCCTTAGCATCTCGAGTGATACTCTATCATATCCAGCTGCCTTACCTGCTTTCATGCTTTTCATTGCTTTCATTATTTCATCTACATTTATCTCCATACCCCTTTCCACTTCTTTCGGAATTTCTAGTTCATTTAATTCATACGACTCTTCACTCATAAACACGCTTTCAAAGTATTCCTTCCATCTGTTTAAATTCGAAACTTCATCATTCAGAATACATCCATTCTCGTCTCTTATAGCATTTATTATAGGCTGTTTTGTATTTCCCCTGGCAGTTCTTACGAGTTTCCAGAACATTTTTATGTTAGCCTGGAAATTATCAGATATCCTTCTATCATTCTTATCCGTTCTTTCTTTCTTTTTCCTTTCAACAACTTCTTTCACTCTCTTATTTAGACGTCTAAATTCTGCCTTTTTTCTTTCAATCTCATCATTCATACCAGAAGAATTATCAGCTTTGGTTGCTAGTAAATCTAACCATGCTTTCTTCTTTGATTCAACTTCCACCCGTACCTCATCATCCCACCATAACGTATTACTTTTCCTTTCATTTGTTCTCTTACTTACACCGCATACTTCGGTGGCAGTATCCACCAAACCTTTCTTAATATTATCCCACACAGTATTCAAGTCTAAATCATTCATACACAACTCATTCAAACATCTAATATTTCCTCTCAGTCTACATTTATACTTCTCTTTCACATCTTCATCTTGTAACTTCTCTATTCTTATACGCTGTAACGCAGTGGTAGACACAGATGTCCGATGCCGCCAACGCTTGAAAAGACCATTAATTCGACACAAGACCAAGTAATGATCCGTCCCTACGTTGGACCCCCGGTAAACCCTTGTATCTACGACTGCGCTCCTGGGTTGGGTATCTGTAACACAATTATCTCCAGTGTGCTCTTTTAAGCATTTGAAGCAGCGTGGCTTTGATCTGCACTGAGCCTTCACATGTCCTAAGCGACAGAACTTCAAACACTGTATGGAAGGGAGTATGTAGGTTTCGACAGGAATTGATGTGTAAAATCTGTATAAGTGAGAAGGAAGCTTTTGGCCTGAAAATGTTTTCTGAACCTTTCTTTACTTTTCGATGTTATCTCTGAGCCTTTATAAATTCTCCTCTACTAGGAGGTAGTTCCGACTCACACACCAACTCCTCGATGGAAATATCGGTTGGTATACCTTTAACAACACCCATTCTGGTAACATTAAAGGTTGGAATGACTGCTGATAGTTTGTATTTGGCAAGAAAGGATGATTCGATAAGGTTATTGGCATCTGAAGCAGTTTTGAAAGCTATTGAGACCCTGTTACGACCTAAATTCGTAATACTTTGTTTTTCAATATTGGAAACCTTATTTTGGGATAGAATATGGCCGATCTTGACAGGTCTGATTGTGATTTCTTATATTTACGCGAACACTACACATTGATTAAAACTACTTTTACGAATTTTATCGCGTTTAATTTTACTTTTAATCATTTTTATTTTTAATTCCCGACGTTTCGGGCGCTTTCCAGCACCCATGGTCACGGGGGACTGAGGTGACTGACGTCCCGATGTCATTGTTAAACCCGGAGTACCTTGAAAAATTGTAAGTAGCCATAGTCAAACGTTTTTACTTAGATGTCCTGAAATATAGTTGGGGAAAGTACAGGAAAAGTAAAAACAAAAGTTGTAGGTTTCTCTTTAAAGAAAACTTATTTATTGCAAAAATGTTGTGAGCTCTCTTTAAAGATGGTTTACAATTTGGCTACATACTTTATTCTAACAATAAAATAAGTATCAATAGGTAATTTTATTAGTAAGTATTTATGGTGTAATATGTTGTAGATTTTTCAATTTGAGCACTTCCATGAGAAAAAACACATTTTTCTTCAAAGTACTTGCAGCATATAGTCGAATATTTTATTTTCGGTATCCATTGTTCTCTACTTATTTTTTAAACATATTATACAATATTTTGTGAAAATCTGCCACAGCATCCACTTACCTTCATGTGGACTATGTGTGTTCGTTTAACACTCTAATTCTATTAAAAAGAAATTCTGGAATAAGAAGAATATTCAGTATGGAACTCTAAAAATTAAAAAAATATTACGACGTTGAATAAGGCTGCATGCTAGGCATTCCTTTGCCAATTAGGAACAAATGGATTAGATGTTATCGACAGCGTTAATCTCTACAAAAATGAGGATATAATTAAGAGAATTTCACGTATTTATAAATTTTTAATTAAATTCCTTTTCATTCAGATCATTAATATTTAAAAATTTGATAATTGTTTCCATCCATTTGTGTACAAATTGTTTGTACCTGCTTTACACTACAGCATTTAGACAGCTAAACAATTCAATCGTACCTTCGGGTTAAATGTATAATAATGATGATTCTTTCTGAAGTGAGTTATATTTAGGTACTACACAATTAATTACGTCTATTTAAACACAAATTTTTACTTTAAAACCCGATATTTTGCAAATACAGGCAGGATTTGTTTTGATCACGAATGACGTTAGGCCTATACAGGCCGATAGCGTGAATATGAATAATCTTTCCTATCGTTCTCATTTCAACATACGCGTATACTATGCTCTTTCTCTTTGACATTGCCAATCTATTCTAACGTCAGTCTATACTGAATCTGTGGTACTAATCATCAGGTCGATTGTAAGTCCGTTAGTGATTTCAGTTTTATAAGGCAGCTAATAATACATCACAATATATTTCACGCAATATTAATCTTTCTTTTCTTTTTATTAAAATATATATTGAGCCTATAAGTAAAGTGATCGCTAATGAAAAATATTACACAACTAGCGATGTGCCCCGGCTTCGCACGGGTGATTTGTGGGTCACGACAACAGCGCCACTTATCGGTTCGATTGTGAATCTAAACCATTCAGGGACCCAGAGAAACGTAATCAAAAAATTTCATCAATGTCATTCGAGTCGTTTTCGAGTTAGAGTGAGACTAACGGACAACACTTGGTTTGTATATAATATATACATCCACAGAACCTAGATTATTTACGACTTTATAGTTTAAAATCTTTTGAGTTACCATAAAAGTTTATATACACATTGAAACCTCTTTAATTCTACTATAAAAAATTAAAAATGTAAATAAAAGAAAACAATAGAAAAAACAACATTTATATGCATAATTGTTAGTAATTCGTTACGTATAGAAAAACTAATACTGTTCTACCGATATTAATTAATGAAAAGAGATTAGATTGTTTTTCTCGTTTAATTTAAAGTGCCGTGTTAGTTTCAAGAGCCATGTCACGTCACCATTGTAGCACGAATGTAGCTCGACCGGAGTAGGACCACTCTCACAGAATACCAGCGTATAATAGCAGCTTAATACTGCTGTGTTTTGTGTAGTGATTGTAGATGAACGGACACTCTTTTTACTAGAAATGACGCATTTCATCTTTGTTCTCAGGGGTGAGAACGCATCTGCATTTTGATCTTTAATCGAGTATAAATATAGACAATATATATATATATATATATATATATATATATATATATATATATATATATCGGTCACAGCATCCACTGCTGCACCACAATTCACAAGTGGACCGTAAGTTCGTTTGTCAAAGGTTAAGAAACGTGTGGTCGTACCTGCGCACCGGAATAGACGAGCAGCTGCAACGCGGCGTGGCCGACTCCGCCGAGGCCGAGCAGCAGCACGCGTGCCGAACGTGCGGAGCGGGAGGGGGCGGGCGCGGCGGCAGGCCGGCCGCGCGCAGCGCCGCGCACGCCGACAGCGCCGCGTACAGCGCGCCGCCCGCCTCCGCGTCGCTCAGACACGTCGGCGCCTCGCTCGCCTACACACCCCAAACACTTTTATATATTACATTACTTAGACGAGCTCTGCGCCCATAATACATTGCGCATTAAGTTACACTTGATTCTCCCTATGTATATTACTATACGGGCTCTGCGCCCTTAATACATTGCGCACCACTACACTACAGAATACCACAGTCAATTCTTTCTATGTATACTTAGTCGACTGCGAGCGAACGAGAAAACTAGTTCTTTGTTTTGTAAACCGTGAACGTTAACGCAGGATATTAACGGGGCACGTCCACGCGATCCACAGCTGTAACGCAGTTTTCATTCTGAATTGCCGGTCCAGTCGTATACAAGTCTGCCAAGCATACGAACAACCACGCTCGATCCTCCGACTCTTCAGGGTTTTATTCAAACTTTATACCGTCTACCATCGTCTAGGGTCTCAATTAATGTAAAAACTCTTAGAAACAAAGTACCACAAAGTTTCATACATAAAATTGTACTTTTATTAAAAATAGAAGGCGATTTCAAAGAAATAGAGACAGATATTAGTATATGACGCTACTAGGGCGGAAAGATTAACATAAACATGTCTGGGTTAAATATGGCCGTGTTTTTATGAGAAAAGATGATATTTCAACTGCCATACATGTTAAAAATGCAAACACTTTTGACACTCTAAAACAATAGATTTTTTTTGTTTCTTTCTTATTATTTAATATAACTTTTAATTTTTATATAATACTTGATAAATTCTTTATTAATGGATATTTATTACCAAAACGTAAATAGATTCAGGACGAAAGTTACTGATATTTATTTTAATACTTCAAGTTGTAATTTTGATGTTATATGTTTTACGGAAACCAATTTAAATGATAGTGTATTTGATTCTGAAATTGAATAAAACTAAATTTACGGATTTTATCGCGTTTATTTCACTACTTTTACTTATTTTTAATTCCCGACGTTTCGGGTGCTTTACAGCAACCATGGTCACGGGGGGGACTGAGATGTTTGACGTCCCAATGTCATAGTTAGTCCGGCTACCTTCAGTTTTTGAATATTAACTTTTTGGTCCGATTTACGCAAAACGAGCTTATAGTATCATAAAGTCTTGCAGTGGTATGCTTAGGTTTGGGTTTAATTTTGTTACTTATAGGATCCCAAGCAAATGGCAGCACCCAACCATCTTCTCTATTGAAATTTGGATGTTTTTTAATTTCAATAGCCTCGCGTATCATTCTTGGTAGGAATCGGTGTTCTTTTGCGAGAATTTGTGGTTTATCAAAACGAATGTAATGGTGGGGACGATCTTGAACATGTTCGCAGACTGCAGACTTCCCGGAGCGTCGGTGCTTCACGTCAGCTATATGTTCTTTCACGCGGGTTTTTATGGATCTTTTTGTTTGACCTATGTAAGAGAGACCACATTCACAATCTAACTTGTACACTCCTGCATCTTGTAGAGGGATATTACACTTGACGGATGGTAAAAATTGACTAATCTTCTTCGGCGGCTTGTAGTATGTTTTAATAGAAGCTCGCTTCAAGATGTAGCCAACCTTGTCTGTGACTCCTCTGACATATGGTAGTACAGCAGGTACACGCTCGACTGTGGCCGGCTTCACTCGGTCACTGTGACGTAGGCGCGGGACCCGAAGCTTGTTGTCTTGCAATACTTGCTTGACGTGCTGAAGTTCGGCGGCCAGATGTTTTCTGTCACAGATCCCTCGTGCTCTCTGAAACAAAGATTTACCCACGGTAGCTAACTGTGAAGGATGATGGTGAGATTCACCATTTAAATATCGGTTGGTATGGGTCTTTTTTCTATACACAGTGTGACCAATAGTGTTATTAGGATTTCGAATGACTAAAACATCTAAGAAAGCTAAAGAATTATTTGCCTCTAACTCCATTGTGAATTGTATTTTAGAGTTTATAGAGTTAAGGTGGTTTAAAAATGCAGTTACTTTGTCTGATGGTAAAATTGTGAAAGTGTCGTCTACGTACCGCTTGTAGAATCTTGGATTTACAGGAGCAGTAAGAAGGGCTTTCTCCTCGAAGTCCTCCATAAATATGTCGGCGACTATGGGAGATACAGGTGAGCCCATCGCCACACCATCTACTTGCTTGTAGAACTCTTCCTTCCACAATAGATAGCCAGATGTGAGGCAGTGTTTGAGTAATACTGCATATTCAGCAGGCATGTTATTATATTCTAGCTTCCTAGTTACAATTGATATGCAGTCTTCAATAGGTAGGCATGTGAATAGTGACTGAACATCAAAACTGACCATAGTTTCATTGTCAGCGAGATGTAGGTCTTTTATCTCACTAACAAAATGGTATGAATCCTTTGTGTGTGCTCTGGTATGTCCTCTCAGTGGTGACAGTACTTTTGCCAAGTGTTGTGCCAGCTTATAAGTTGGTGAATCGATCTGGCTCACTATAGGACGTAGTGGAGCGTTTGGTTTGTGTATTTTTGGTAACCCATACAACCTCGGTGGTTTGGTACATGATGGTTTTAGCGAATTCACGTCGAGATTTAATTTTTCGGAGTGTTTCTTTATTAAATCGCTAGTTGCTGTTTTGACCTTTTTGTATGTACTTTCGTCCGATAAACGTCAAACATCTCAGTCCCCCCCCCCCGTGACCATGGTTGCTGTAAAGCACCCGAAACGTCGGGAATTAAAAATAAGTAAAAGTAGTGAAATAAACGCGATAAAATCCGTAAATTTAGTTTTATTCAATGTGTAGTGTTCGCGTAAATTTAAGAAATCATTATGATTCTGAAATGTTTGATTCCCAGTTAACTGTATTCAGAAGGGACCGTTATACAAGTTGTATTTCTAAGCATGATGGCGGTGGCGTATTAATTGCTGTTAAGGACAAGTATCATGTAATTAGACAAACGAGTTAGAAATGTGAAGTTGAAGATTTTTGGGTGACTATCCTTCCGAGCAATTTTCCTGTCGAAAGCTCCACTTATGTTTATGTTATCTACCTACCGATATTTCTCGCGACCACTTGCATGCCTTTTACAATGTTCATAAAAACGTATCTCGTGTTGAGGATAAAGACAAATTTTTACTTATTGGCGATTTTAACACCACACATCTGAGTTGGTCCCCTAGAACTTATAGTAAGTAACGTTATGACACCTGGTATTTCATTCGACTTTAAATCTAATTGTCTTGCGATATTATGAATCTTTGTAACCTAGTTCAACTTCAGTCTATAATGTGAATAGCTTTCTTCTTGATCTCGTCTTGTCAACAAGCATTTTACTCGAATAGATTCACATCACCCCCCAAGAAATTGTATTAATGGAAAATTTTAAATTAAAAAATAAATAAACGTGCGCAACCAATAAGATATAACTACCGCAAATATAATTATCCTGATTTAAAAGAGGATCTAACAACTGTTGATTGTTCTTATTAAATGAACCGGATATAAACGAGGCTGTCGATAAGTTTTACACTCTCTTGAAAAACTTAATTGCAAAACACACACCGCTTGTAAATAAAACCAATAACAAATATCCACCATGGTATACTTCAGCATTAATAAAATGTCTCATAGAAAAAAAACTGACGACACTTATGCATTGCTACGCACGAGATTTAAAAAACTCATGGAATCTGTGCACGCATCGTTTATTATCTCCATGAAAGGTCTATCGGATAAAATAAAGATATTTTGGAATTTTGTTAGCAGTAAAATAGGTAGCTCAGGTATGCCACAGACTATGACTCTTGGTACGGAATCTTCTTCTGACACACAATGAATATGTGAACTTTTTTCTCGGTACTTCAGTTCAGCTTTCGAAGTTTCTCAACTTGTCATTAACCAGGATTTTGTTACTAATAATATCGTAGATTGTGATAGTTATTGTAATTAGTACAGTATGTGTAATATACAGGGTGTTAGTGTAAATACCGTTATCCTTGAAACCATTGGTTTGGTTTCGCTTATAGAACGTAAATTCAATGAAAAATAACAACATTTTTTTAGCAAAATCTAAATTTTTCCTTAAGGAGAAATATAACCTCAAATGGCTTAGCAAGATCCTCTGTTAAGCCGAAATTAACTTTGAAATAAATATATGGTAAAGTTGAGGATTAATGTTAAGGACTATGTTAGACGACAACACAATTCCGTAAAATTTTCTCGATAGAAAAAAAATCCATAGTTACCTCCAAACTGAACAATAAACCGCTGTTATTCATAAAATACTTTAAATAAGATCATGAAACTTTGCATACTAACTGAACTAACTATAAAGCAGTGCTTATGTTATTTACTTTTTTAAAGTACCATTATTTTCACTGTAAAAATAAATTACCTAAACTATCGGCGTCTTGAAGCTTGATTCCTGTCGCCTCGTTAGTATCGCTTAGGCTTTTGAAGGGAGAAGTTGTGTCCCTTACGATTAGAATACACATTACGCAACAGGACGACGTAAAATTAAAATGGGAAATGACCGTAATAAAAATAAGAAGCGACTGGGTTGGCGTTAAGAAACAGGCATAAATATGATAAACCTAATGAAATAAGTATCTAACGACCTATCTACTTACAGTATTAGTAATTACAAACATGTCGGTACATAGCATACGACGCGCGGGGAAGTGGGGGCGAAATTAGAATTTGAGCTGACTTACTATATCCCCTTAATTCCTCAATTTTTGCCTGTCCTAAGCCAGGATGACAGTAAAAGGAAAGGTTACATCACAGGTTATGTGTACCTATTGTGTTTTTATTGGAATGTTGTGTAGGTGGCTAGCGCGGGCGGTGATCTTTACAGTGATTACGTCACTCGGGCGCATAGGGTACCCATGAATTTACTGACGGTGTCGGACAGAAACTTTTTAAATTTTATGAAACAAAATAGATTTTTTTTAATTCATTGAATTTACGTTCTATAAGTGAAACCAAACCACTGGTTTCAAAGATAACGGTATCTACACTAACATACTGTAGAACTAAGTCAGGATACAATATTGGATAAATTAAAGAAATTAGGTACTCGCAAAGGTTCATGGTATGATGGTATTTCCGCTATTTTTTTCTCAAATTGTGCAAGGCAACTGTGTGAACCACTAACATTATTGTTTAATAAGTCATTAAAGTCTGGTGCTTTCCCTTCCATTTGGAAATTGGCTCACTCGTACTCATTCACAAGTCCGGAAATAAGTCTAACTGCGAAAATTATAGACCTATTAGCATTTTGTGCAGTGTTGCTAAGGTTTTTGAATCTGCGTTGTATGATCATTTTTACTCTCAAATTAAGCCATTTAATCTAGCAAGCAGCACGATTTCGTGAGAGGTAGATCAAAAGTGACAAACTTTTTAGAATACAAAACCTACTTGTGTGAGGTTTCCGCCGTGGGTGGGCAGGTTGACGTCATGTACACTGATTTTACAAAAGCTTTCTACAAAGTAAATCATTCTTTACTCTGTAAAAAATTAGCTATTTCGGGTATTCATAGAAATCTACTGCGCTGGGTTCATTCGTACCTCGATAATAGAAGCCAACTTCTCGCTCTCAAAGGTTTCACGTCATCTCCTGTCATAGTTAAATGCGGTGTTCTACAGGGTGTATCTCAGTCCGTTATTTTTTATTGTATTCATAAACGATCTGCTTTGTAAACTATCCAGTCCTTGCTTTCTATATGCAGATGACTTGAAAATGTACCGTGTGATACAGGATTTATCTGATTGCGTTAAGCTACAAGATAATATTGATTCAATATCCGAATAGTGCCGGCTTTACGATATGCATCGCAATGTTGAAAAGTGTTTTATTATAACGTCCACAAATAAGAGATATAAACAGACATATGACTATAAGATTAAAGAAAATTCATCAGATAGAAAAACGGTAGCAAAAGATCTGGGCTCAGATCATATAAACAACAGGAGATATGGCAAGGAGGTGTGGCACTTGCGAACGCATCTGGCCACAAAGCGGCCTGATGCCAGTTTCGGTAATTAGTCGAATGTCAACTTGTGACGTCTTCACTGCTCATGATTTTTGACAAAATTCTGCGTTGTTCTGTGATTGTTTGCAAAAATAACAGCTGTATTGTGAATTACATGAAAGATGGCATCTCATTTCACACGTAAGTACTAAAATATTAATGTTTTTCTTATTCAATTTATTAAAACATTACTTCGTGGTACTAGAAACACGATGAAAAACCAAATCAAATGTTTTCATTGGGAACAAAAACCATTGCTTGCTTAGTACAAATCGACCTGTGAATCAGCTGGTCTAATAGCGCAATGGATAAGTGTTTTACTGATACTCTCACTCACACGATAGTTTCGTGAAGCAGCCGCTGCCGGCTTTTGTGAGTGAATGATAGCGACAGATGTTTTTGTGTGAATAAGTTTTGTACGGTGCTTGGTAAATGCATGCTGCGTATGATGAGATAAGGTTTATAATTGGTTGTGTAGTATGTTCTGATTTATAAAATGCGAGTGTGTGCGCGATTGTGTATCTATTGCCTTTACTGATGTGCATATGTAGTAGTTGGCGCGTGGTAGGGGCCAACTGGAGACATCGGGTTCCGATACATTTTCAACTACTGAGCATATCTCCTTATTTCTTATATCTATGGATCTGGGTGTGCAGTTTGACTCTAAATTACCATTTCGTAAGCACTATGCTCACATTAAAAACAAAGCATTTCAGTTACTAGGTGTCATAATGAGATGCACTTATAATAACCTTGTTCGTAGCATTCTTGAATATGCTTGTGTCATTTGTTCTCCCTGCTACACGGTGCATTAGGATAGTATAGAAAGCGTCCAAAAAAGAATCCCTAAAATACTTAGCTACAAATGTGGTCTTGCTCGCAGTGTTGTCGGTTATAGTGAGACTCGACAAATTTAAAGTGACCTCTTTACTAATTCGTCGTAAGGAATATGACCTTATATATTTACATAAAATTCTCCATAGTGAGATCGATTCCGGTTACCTCTAAGTAAGTAAGTAAAAAGTAAGTAAATTAAACTTAATTACAAAGCGCGTTCCTCGAATTCCTAGCAAAACATTTTACCTGCAGGCTTACTAGAAAAATACTTCTTTTTACAACCCGATAATAAGAATGTGTCGACTTTACAACGAGATATCCATGAAAGATTCCGGCTTGGATATTTTTGACCCAAGATCAAGGATATTCAAAAGAGTAGTAAAAGAGCTTACAATCATACACACTCATTCTCATATCACATAGATTTTAAATGTGTTGTTTGTAAAATTTGTTTTTTGTATTATGTAGTAATATACGGCATTAATATTGTTAAGCGTAGATTTGATCTCCCCTGTAGTAAAATATGAAAATGCTGTGTCAATATACTAAGGAAAACAATCTGGCACAAAACTTATATATATATATATATATATATATATATATATATATATATATATATATATATATATATATATATATTTGTATAATACTTAATGTTTTTCGTTTTTGTTTTAGGCATCGTTTCTAGCCGACAGGAGCTTCTACGTCTGTGTCAAAGATGCTGAGTCCGCAGCAAAACCAATTAGAGCCGGCGTACCACAGGGAAGCTGTCTATCGCCGATCCTGTACCGGCTTACACCAATGACATACCTACACTGAAGGACAACCTACGCAAATGGGAAGACGGTGTAAAATTGGCTTTATATGCGGATGATAGCGCCTACTTAACATCGTCTAGAAGACCCCAAGTCGCCACTGATAAAATGATGAGTGGAAGATGGCCGTTAATGTTGGCAAGATGACCGCTCTGCTCACCCGCCGACTCAGAAACATTTCACCGCCGCTGACACTGAGAGGCCAGGAGATAGCGTACCAGAAGGCTAGAACCTACCTTGGATGCCGGATAGATAGGATACTGCGCATGATTGCGCACGTTGACATCCTAATCCGCAATGCCAGAGGTGCGCGGGCAATGCTCCGTCCTGTCCTGGCATCCAAGTTGTCACTGAGGACGAAAATCAGTATTTACAAAATCTATATTAGACCCAGGATTACTTATACTGCACCAGCCTGGTACGCTCTCCTGAGCGAACGGCAGAGGCAGCGTCTGCAGACACAGCAAAATCTTATTCTTCGAACCATCGTCGGTGCAGGTTGCTACGTCCGGAACGACATCATAGCCAACCTTAAGATGGAAACCATAAAGGAATTTGTGGTCCGGCTGGCGCGCGGTATGTACAACCGCGCTGACAACGGGCAACACCCTTACCTAAACACAACTTGGCACCTTCACATGTCCGGCCCCAAACGGGTGACCTCTACCCTCTAAGAGAACTCCTCTCAATATAGATTAGAGACTCGAGTAAAACCCTCAATGCCACAGAAAGGCCAACTACGACTTATAAATAGACAACCAACCTTTCTCGTAATTTAACTGACAACGGTAAAATTTAACCGATTTCGGAAAAATTATATAGCCGATAGAAACTAGCAACACTTTTTTAACAAGGCACCCAGGACCGGCCCATTGCTGTGGACCGTGATGAAAGTCGGGGTAAAGGGGAATGCCCAGATGCCCGCAACGTGCTGAGCACTAGCCCACGCAGAAGACAACAAGCAAGCAGCTGGGCCAGTGCAGCAGCAGCACGCCCCACACGCGGCCGCGCAGCCGGCTGCTCGCGCCCGCGCGCACCACCTCGCCGCACACGTCGCGCCCCACCACCAGCGGGAAATGCACTTCCACCTCCACGCCCCACAGCCCAGCTGCGCACGTACTCAGCGGTCCCTGAGCACGACGTACTGCGCGTGCGCTACGGCCAGTGCGGCGGCAGCACGCCCCACACGCGGCCGCGCAGCAGGCTGCTCGCGCCCGCGCGCACCACCTCGCCGCACACGTCGCGCCCCACCACCAGCGGGAAATGCACTTCCACCTCCACGCCCCACAGCCCAGCTGCGCACGTACTCAGCGGTCCCTGAGCACGACGTACTGCGCGTGCGCTACGGCCAGTGCGGCGGCAGCACGCCCCACACGCGGCCGCGCAGCCGGCTGCTCGCGCCCGCGCGCACCACCTCGCCGCACACGTCGCGCCCCACCACCAGCGGGAAATGCACTTCCACCTCCACGCCCCACAGCCCAGCTGCGCACGTACTCAGCGGTCCCTGAGCACGACGTACTGCGCGTGCGCTACGGCCAGTGCGGCGGCAGCACGCCCCACACGCGGCCGCGCAGCCGGCTGCTCGCGCCCGCGCGCACCACCTCGCCGCACACGTCGCGCCCCACCACCAGCGGGAAATGCACTTCCACCTCCACGCCCCACAGCCCAGCTGCGCACGTACTCAGCGGTCCCTGAGCACGACGTACTGCGCGTGCGCTACGGCCAGTGCGGCGGCAGCACGCCCCACACGCGGCCGCGCAGCCGGCTGCTCGCGCCCGCGCGCACCACCTCGCCGCACACGTCGCGCCCCACCACCAGCGGGAAATGCACTTCCACCTCCACGCCCCACAGCCCAGCTGCGCACGTACTCAGCGGTCCCTGAGCACGACGTACTGCGCGTGCGCTACGGCCAGTGCGGCGGCAGCACGCCCCACACGCGGCCGCGCAGCCGGCTGCTCGCGCCCGCGCGCACCACCTCGCCGCACACGTCGCGCCCCACCACCAGCGGGAAATGCACTTCCACCTCCACGCCCCACAGCCCAGCTGCGCACGTACTCAGCGGTCCCTGAGCACGACGTACTGCGCGTGCGCTACGGCCAGTGCGGCGGCAGCACGCCCCACACGCGGCCGCGCAGCCGGCTGCTCGCGCCCGCGCGCACCACCTCGCCGCACACGTCGCGCCCCACCACCAGCGGGAAATGCACTTCCACCTCCACGTCCCACAGCCCAGCTCCGCACGTACCCAGCGGTCCCTGAGCACGACGTACTGCGCGTGCGCGCCGGGCCAGTGCGGCGGCAGCACGCCCCACACGCGGCCGCGCAGCCGGCTGCTCGCGCCCACGCGCACCACCTCGCCACACACGTCGCGCCCCTACACCAGCGGGAACTGCACCTCCACCTCCAGGCCCCACAGCCCAGCTGCCCACGTACCCAGCGGTCCCTAAGCACGACGTACTGCGCGTGCGCGCCGGGCCAGTGCGGCGGCAGCACGCCCCACACGCGGCCGCGCAGCCGGCTGCTCGCGCCCACGCGCACCACCTCGCCGCACAGGTCGCGCCCCTACACCAGCGGGAACTGCACCTCCACCTCCACGCCCCACAGCCCAGCTGCGCACGTACCCAGCGGTCCCTAAGCACGACGTACTGCGCGTGCGCACCGGGCCAGTGCGGCGGCAGCACGCCCCACACGCGGCCGCGCAGCCGGCTGCCCGCGCCCGCGCGCACCACCTCGCCGCACACGTCGCGCCCCACCACCAGCGGGAATTCCACCTCCGCGCCCCCGGCACCACCCACGCCCTCCAGCGACCGCGCCAAGTTCAGCATGCGCGCGCCGTACCCGCCTTTGAGTAAATAATATTTTAACGGTACATATTCGTGTGTTTAATGGACTCATTCTTGTCATTTCGTATCATCATCATTCATCATTACAGCCCTTCACAAGTCCACTGCTGAACATAGGCCTCCCCCAAGTAATGCCACAAACCACGGTCCTGAGCCACCTGCATCCATCGACTTCCTGCATATCTTACCAGGTCGTCACTCCATCTAGCGGGGGGTCGCCCTACACTACGCCTACCGGTACGAGGCTGCCCCTCGAGAACCTTTCTTCCCCATCGGTTATCGGTTCTTCGAGCTATATGAACGGCCCATTGCCACTTCAGCTTACTAATTCGTTGGGCTATGTCGGTCACTCTGGTTTTACTGCGGATATCCTCATTTCTGAGTCTATCACGCAGAGAAACTCCGAGCATAGCCCTCTCCATAGCTCGCTGAGCGACCTTGAGCGTCCTCATACGGCCAGCAGTGAAGGACCACGTCTCAGATCCGTAAGTCATCACTGGCAACACGCACTGGTTGTACAATTTAGTTTTTAGAGATTGAGGTATACCTGACGAGAAGATATGTCGTAATTTCCCGAACGCTGCCCAGTCGAGTTGAATCCATCGATTGACCTCTCGGTCGAAGTTGGACTTACCTAGTCGGACTATTTGTCCCAGGTAAACATACTCGTCAACAACTTCGAGCATAGTGCTCCCAACAACTACCGGCATAGGTGTGACATGGACATTAAACATGATCTTTGTTTTGTCCATGTTCATCTTAAGACCTTCGTTAGTTCCGTTGGGAGGCGTATCTACCTTCCGTATAATAATCTTATTATTCTTGTACGGTGAAATGTACATATTTTACAATGAGTTATATGTATTCAATATTGTTAACTTGGCAGTTTTATAACACAGCACTTTTAAGCGCCAGTACTCGATGTTCGGGTATTGGACGTATGTTTAATAATAATTAAAATTTTATATAAAAACAGTTTAATAAAGAAGCTAAAAAATATAAGATTAAAATATGTTAAAAAATGTTAAATGTTATGTTAATTTTATGTTTATGAGCTCGCGTCCGTCGCGGTTACGGTGATTACGTGAACTAACTAAATTTTTATAATTGTTGAATATATCGATTGCTTCACGTAAAATGTTAACGCCAGCAGAAATGTACATGGTGCCGGGCCAAAAATGTAAAAAAATGATTATAAAGTTAATTTGATGTGTGTTAGGTGATCTTATCTAAGTAACAAGGTGATAAACAATTTTTAACTTAATCTAATTAATGATTGTTATTTTGTTAAATGAAAATGATAACAGTATCTAATTTATGATATAACAATTAATTTTATATTTAAACATTAAAACGTCTATGCGGTATGGGAGAACACGCTTTGTTTTGTTTTTCAATTTCACACGACACATCACTATGGCCCATATGTTGACGGTCAACATCACAATTTCGCACACTAGCACTCACTGTGAAAACACTAGGCTTACGGTTAGCCTTTCTTTTATTTCCCGCACTCACTGCACTGACACTACTCGCCGACTGCAGCTCCAAGTCCGGGGAGATGAGCGCACGCCGCCGCCGTCGCCGCCATCGCCATCGCCACACGAACACCGCCGCTACGACTGCTGCCACTCCGATTAACACGTAGTTGATTGCGTAGTGATGGATGTCGTGCGACGATAATGTGGTTAATTGCACGTTATTCTCTTTTAGGTCTTGTATTTGACGGTCTAAGTTATGTAAGGAGCTGTTCAAATCTGATATGTTGGAGTCATTTTCGTTTAGAGGTTCTGAGGTTATGCTTATTTTGATGATTTTATTCAATGGATCAATTTTTGGGAGAAATAAGTCCTTTTTCATCTCAATTTGATGGGAGAACAACGTAAAATCTAGCGCAATTGACATGTTTTTTATTTCCGCTTGCAAGTTGTTGGTCTGTTTGTCCAGGTTTATCAAATGTCTGTTAACAGTTTTATGTTGTTTGTCTACCAAATCTTCGACACGATTTAATAAATTATATTCTGACTCCAATACAGACGTCTGGTTCTTCCATAAATTTAACACTAGAGTACACGCGCGGCCTACTATAGTAGACCAGGGTAACTTTTTTTGCAATAACTTTTTACTTAAGAGTGCTAGGAGCTTGTAATTCCAGGTAAGCCTCGTTTGGTATATTTGTCACGACCTCAGTACCCCGCGCGAACCCAGCGCGTACACACGCACAAGCAATTTGGCGCCAAAATCGTGGGCCCACTAAAGTAGACCGCGCGTGTATTGGTGTACCAAATTCAGGTATGTAACTTTTGGTGTATTATCGATTTATAACGTTATTATAATATTCTTTACTTATTAATAGTATATTTATGTTTATATATGTTTAATTATTATTATTATTTATATTGGTTACAATTTGTAAAATGTATATTTTTTCTTATTATTAGTATTTTTTTACAGAATTATATATCCGATTACATCATGGATGATTCACAAGTGGAAAGGTGGCTGCATGAGCTAGATACTGAAGATGAAGAAGTGATTGAGAGTGAAGATGATGAAATCCAGCCAGAACCAGACTTGCAGGACTTAGTCCGTGAGTCAGAACTCCGTGAAAATGAAGAAGAAAGATTGAGTGAATCTGACGAAACATCAGGTTCAGATGACGTTCCACTCTCGCAACTAGCAACCGGAAGGCGCGGTCTAGAGTCGACGAACGGAACTATTTGGCACAAAGATGTTCCACCAGCAACGCGAACTCGACACCAAAACATTAGGATAAGGCCACCAGGCCCAAAAGGAGATGCAGCTAGGAAAGCTAAGGATCCGTTATCCTGTTTTCAACTATTTTTCACGCAAGATATCTTGGACATCTTGGTAAGATGCACTAATATATATATAGATAAAATAAAAGTCGATTTTCAAAGAAACAGGGATGCGAAACCCACTGATGTAGTAGAAATGAGAGCATTTCTGGGCATATTATACGTCATGGGAGTGTCGCGAAATGGATGGCGTAACATAAAGGATTTTTGGGATAACTCTCAGGGTACTGGTTTGGAAATTGTATATGCCACAATGGCAATAAATAGATTCCGGTTTTTGATACGTACCCTAAGATTTGACGACGTTACCGACAGAGAACAGCGCCGAGAACTTGATAAAATGGCACCAATTCGACAAGTTGTGGAGTTGGTCACCAACAATTGTCGCAACAACTATGTACCTAGTGATTATTTGACGTTAGACGAACAACTTGTCGGTTTTCGAGGACGTTGTGGCTTCATAATGTACATACCGAATAAGCCGGACAAATTCGGAATCAAGATTTTCATGGTCGTAAATACAAAGTTTCCATATGTTTACAATTTTGAGATATATGTTGGTACCCAACCAGAAGATCCGTTTCAAAAGTCCAACAAGGTAAATGACGTCCATAGAGTGTTGGATCCACTTTATGAATTGGGTTGCAATGTAACAATGGACAATTATTTTACAAAACACCTCTGGCTAAACAGGTGTTGCAGAAGAAAATCACGATTGTTGGTACTATGAAAGCAAATAGACAGGAAATTCCTAAGGAGTTCAAAGCTTCGAAGTCTAGGACTAGCAAAAGTTCTCTTTTTGGATTTCAAAAAGACGCTACACTTGTGTCCTACGTTCCAAAAATAAACAAGGTAGTCAACTTACTATCTACAATGCATTATGATGCAGCTATCGATTCCGATACAAATGAAGAACGCAAGCCGGAGATTATAACTTTTTATAATCGTACTAAATGCGGTGTAGACATTCTCGACAAAATGTGCAAGCAGTATAGTGTTCAGCGTAACTGCCGTCGATGGCCCCTAGTAATATTTTTTGATTTGATGAACATTGTTAGAATCAACGCTCTGGTAATCAACCAAATGAACGCCTCTGCCGAAAAAATTGTCAGTCGTATTTTTTTGCAGGAATTATCCTTTAATTTGATAAAACCGCTTTTGATTCGCCGGGCATCAATTGAAACACTTCCACGACAACTTAAATTCAGGATAGAAGCACTTTTGGGCAACACAGTTCAAGAACCCCAAGAGTCTCAACACGATTTCACTTCAAAGATAGGACGAGTCGGTCAATGTGCACTCCGCTCGAGAGCCCGAAATCGGTCTACGAAAAAGTGGTGCAAAACTTGTAATAAATGGATTTGTCCCGATCACCAAGCAGTAGTGTGTCCTGAATGCTATGAAAACAAATAAAATAGTAATAAAGTTTAGTTTAAGTTATTACAAAATTACGTTGATCTCAGAAGTGCCATTTTTGATACTTTTTCTTATATATTTACTAAATTGTTGATTCTTAATAATTTCTTAATAATTTTTCTAAAGAGTAAGGTTGTAAAACTAAGTAAATAAATACATTTTACATTCCGTTTGTTGTTTCAATCAGATAATTAGGAATATTCAAGTTATTGGCATTTTAATATGGCCTACTTTAGTAGGCCACGAGTGTAGTCAAGTAAAAAAAAAGGGGCGCATGTACTGTAGTGTTAATAAATGATTTTGGTTTTGTCTAACAAGTTCAATATCCTTACTATACTGTTCCGCGAAACGTTCGTCCAATACGCCAAACAAACTATTTGCTAAGTAGCCTATTCCATTCACAAGTCCCCGTCGCAGTCTGGAGCGTCCGACGAAATGCTGATTCAATATCAGGTCATTGTAATACTGCAGTTCCGAGAACTCGTGCTGTAGTTGTAAACAATATCATATGGCATAAGTGATCTGCGTTTAAGTTCATACATCTTTCGTTTAAATGTTTTAAAAATATTTCAAATGCCTTAATTCCTTCCCAATAGGGTTCTAAGTTGTAATACACAATTAGTGTCCATTTATCCTGGATTATCTGCATTTTACCCAGTGGATCAAAGTAAATAGACTGGTTATTGTTAAAAGTAGTAATATTATAAGAGCTTGTACTAAATGCAGGTGTAATTAAACATATAAAAACATTAAACTCATAACAATAGAACTAAATCTAGATGGTGTGCCTTATTTTCCTTGTTATAGGTTCTCTTTTGTATGAAGTTACTCGACCTTTCTTTTTCTTCATTTTGTTGTGGTGATATTTCTACAGGTAATAATGACAATTTACTGATCGGTCTTTTAAGTTTACCGTTTTTTGTTTTCAATGTTACAACTCATACATGTCCATCGCTACTGGGGTGAAGTTCCACTACGCGCCCCATCGCCCATTTTCTCAAGGTGAACCCCCCCAATTGTAATAATTTGTTTAAGTCGTTAACCAACTTTCTGCCTTGCTGAATGTTGTGGGCTCCATGAACGAGATCGTCCATATAAAAAGCCTCTTTTAAAGCCGTTGATGCCTCCGGGTAGGCAGCCTGTTCGTCTTTTGCTAGCTGTTTTAACGTCATCATTGCTAAAAATGGCGCCTTTATGCCTTTTGTAAGGGTGGTAAGTTGATAAGATTGCAAAGGTTGTTCTGGTGATTCTGTCCAAATAATGTTTTGATAACGTTGGTCCTGTTCATTCATGATGATCTACCGATACATTTTCTCAATGTTTGCGGTGAAATCATATTTATATTGACGCCATTTTAATAATAAACATTGTAAATCTTGTTGTAAATTAGGCCCTTTATAATTAAGTCATTAAGACTATACCCACTCGAAGTTTTTGGTGATGCGTTAAAAACGACACGGAGGCTTGTGGTCATTGACTCGGCACGCGCTACACCGTGGCACGGTAATATTATTAATATTACCGTGACCGTGGTGAGGTAGATAACACTCCGGCATCGTATGACCGTCCGATTGTTTCATATGATTCAATTGTTCATATTCTTTAATAAAGGATTTACATTTTTCCGCGAAATTATCACGTTTTACAAGTTTTTTTTTCTAAATTCCGAAACTGTGCAATTGCCATTGATTTCGTTGATCCCAAATTTGTTTTGATTTCTGGTTTTAAGGGTAAACGGACCTCATAACGACCATTTTCATGACTTTTGTAGTTGATGTATAGTGTTGTATACAATGCTGTTCTTCTAAGGATAACTCTGAATGTTCTGTTATTTGTTCTATTTCCCAAAATGTCTGAATGTTTTCAATGTCGTTTGTGATAACATTACATTGAAATGTTATCACACAACGACCACCCTAGCTGCGTTTGTTGTGCGATAGGCTGTAATGAATCTCCCTTTGAAATGCCACCTAACATGATCATATGTAGAATAAATATCAGCACCGAAGAGTAAGTCCATGGGACGACAGTTATAAAACTCAGGATCAGCCAAGTTTACGTTTTCTATAAATGATCATGAAGGCTTTTCGAAAGATTTGTTTGGCAAATGTTTAATCAGGTGACTCATTATGTAAACAAAATCATTCAAATCCTGAATAGTTGCAATTGTATAACTCCACAAAATGATAATAAAAATTGTTTACACCTGGTGCATCAGACTATACAAGGCATGATAGGCAAAGAACTAGAAATTGAATTGTTCTTAAATAGCAACAATATTCATATTATATGTATTACTGAACATTGGTTAAAAGCTCATAATTTAATGTTTAACTTCAGTAATCACCAGGTGGTCAGTTCTTTCAATAGAGAAATGGTTTTAAGAGGTGGCTCCTTAATTTTAGCTAGTAAATTATTATCATGTAAAGAACGTAAAGATATTGTGAGCCTCTCCGTTGAGCGAACTGTAGAAATGGCATGTGTTGAGTTTGAGCACCTCATTGTTGTAAGCGTTTACGCTAAGCTTAATAAACAGAATAAATGTGTTGTAATATGTGGAGACTTTAATATCAATCTCCTAGAAGCTTCCTCCACCAATATTAAATTTAGATCATTGTTTAAATCTCATGGTTTCGTTAATTTATTTTTGGAGCCAACACGTATTGCTGAATCTAGTGCAACATGTATAGATAACATTTTTACAAATGTTAAGCAGTTCAATAAATGTATAATTCAAAAATTGAGCTCTGATCACTGTCGACAATTAGTTTCATTACCTTATGTTCACAAAAAGCAAGTAGATAAAAAAGTAGTGTTTGTTCCAGTAAATGCACGTCGCTTGGAGAAGTTTAGAAGTAACATAGTAAAGAACCTTCCATTACTTTCATACCAAAATAATCCAAATTTTTTGTATGGAACATTATTTAAGCTTATTTGCAATGAATTTAATAATACTTTTACTTCTAAAACATTCTCCTTGAACAATCGCAAAGCATTTAATGAGTGGGCGACAGTAGGAGTCCATAAGAGTAGACAAAGGTTATATGAACTTTACCATGAAAGGTCATATAACCCTAGCGTCAAATTTAGGAAATATGTAAAAAAATATTCCAAAATATTTAAAAGAGTGTGCTCCTTAGCCAAGTCATTGTATTTGAGTAACAAAATAAAGACTACTTCTAATAAAATTAAAATGACATGGAGTATAATTAATAGTGAAACTGGTAAGGTCAACTCTCGCAATTCAAACTACCAGTTAAGTTTTAACAATAAATTAACTAAATCAGATCAGGACTTTGCAATGGTTTTTGAGAAATATTTTAGTGATATTCCGATCTTAACCACTAAGTCACTGAATTCTTCTCCTGCCGTCGCCGAATCATTACTTAAACAAAATGTAAATGTGTGTACAAAGAATTTTACATTTCATAAAGTGTCATCAAAAGATATTGTAAAATATTTTAAGACTATTGATATTAAGAAAACCGCCGATTTGTGGGGGATTTCCGTTAAAGTTATTGCGTCTATAATAGATGCGATCGCACCTCAACTATCTATTATTTTTAATACTAGTATTGAATCTGGTGTGTTTCCTGATTTAAGTGAGGTACCTGTGGGCGGAGAGCCTCTTGTGGCTCCGCCGATTTTCCCGAAGACGGTTCACCTAATCCACGCTGTTCCACTTGTTGACTTGTTTTACCTTCAGGGGCTAGATAATACTTCTGGGTAGCCAGAAAATCCTGATACTGCAAATTTATGATTTCTTTTACCGAGTTATATTGCTTCCTTGCAATTTCGAGAGTTTGTAAAGTAGGGATGTGTACGACTCTCACTTTTTACTAGTTGACTGTGATTTTTCTGATAATCTTGCCAGTACGATTTCAAAACCTCAAGTTTTCTTTTAAAATAATCTAATGTTTTACGCTCTGACCCATCCAATTTTACGGATAGCTCCTACAATCTCGACCTGATTAGCGTGTACGTTTTCCACGCTGCTATTAAATGCAGAACTGTTCAGAAAGGAAAGATCTTACTTTGACACGGCTGCTTACTGCTGATGCTGCTGCTGCTGCTGCTGCTGCTGCTGCTGCTGCTGCTGACCAACTTGTCGACGCGTTGCTTCTTGACCTAGACAAGCTGCTGCTTGGCCAAGCCAAATGTTGTGGATGTTGAGCAAGATGACCACTGTTATGTTTGAGTTTTTAATGTTCGCTAGTTCTCACTGTCAGTCACTGTCTTCGAAACACACGAGGTCCAATGCACTCGTCGAAGAACCCAAAAATGTTTATTTTTCGCTCGAAGAACCAAAAAATGTTCGGGTATTGGACGTATGTTTAATATAAGATTAAAATATGTTAAAAAATGTTAAATGTTATGTTAATGATAATGTTATGTTTATGAGCTCGCGTCCGTCGCGGTTACGGTGATTACGTGAACTAACTCAATTTTTATAATTGTTGAACTATAGCGATTGCTTCACGTTAACGCCAGCAGAAATGTACGGTTGGACCGAACAGCCGAACACTCGACAAGCAGTGTATTTCAAGCACGCACATCAAGTAGTCGTTTTCCGTATCACTTGTCAATTATATTAGTATCATATTATCAATATATATCGTATTATAGCAAGTTTTATATAGTTTATATCATCTATTATCAAGTGTAGGAATTACGGGTGTAACCCTGAAAATTTCATTTGGCTAGTATTGGTGCACCATGTTGTGACCCCACAATTCTACTTACTAGCGTAGAGTATGCTTAACAAAATAAACCTTACGTTTTTAGTAAACTTTAATTTAAAGAAAAATTTCGATTATTGGCACATGGACTATTTAGGTACAATTTTCCACATGATGCTCCAGCACTAACCAAATGAAATTTTCTGGGTTAATTCAAACAATTTTTAAGATAGGATGTAGAAAAAATAATATATAAAATATTTATTTTAGAACCATAGAAAGTTAATGCAACATTTAGAATTTGAAAAAAATATTACTATAATTTTAATTCTGACTTTTATAAATGTAAGCCTCTCTGATTATCTTGTTTGAAAAAAATCATGGTCGCAGACCTAATAGTTTGGCTGTAAATGGCGAAGTTTAGGCTAAAATCTGATTTTGACAAAATTTTTACTAAAGTCCAAATAACTTTTGAACCACTGAATATCACACACAACATACAGGAAGGTTAAATCGACAGGTACTAAGATCCTCAACCCCTAGCCACCAATGATTCACCCCTCATGTTACACTCAATTAATGATTCTAAATACAGATACATTGTGATCCTTGAGGACTTAGACGGAATGCCTTGTTTCCAGTAAAAAGGGTCTCCGGTTCTCGACATATTATACAAAATACAGACATACTATATAAAATACAACAGCATTAAGCTGCTGATATAAGTGGTTACTACCACCGTAAAGTCAAACCCATTTGTGCTACAACTATAATAAAGCTGCAGCATAACTCAACCATGTATAATGTGAGTATGTGTGCCACATATTTCTAGCAAATGCTATTTCTTGTACTGACTAAGAAGTATATAAGATTTTTGTATCATAAAGTTAAAATTAAACGTGATAAAATCCATAAAATTGATTTCATTTGATGCGTAGTATTCACGCAAATATAAGAAAGCATTATAAATACGGTGTTTAATACGGACCAACCATAGCAACATCGAGTGGGTTGATGGAGGTGGTGCGCACTCGCACGAGCACCTGGTCGGGCGCACGCAGCGGTGGCACGCGCGCTTCCTCCAGCCGCAGCTCCGCCAGCGACCCATAGCAGTGCGTGCGCCAAGCCATCATCCGCGCCGCGCTCGTCACAGCCTCCCGCTGCATGATCCTACCGATCTATACACCACCTGCCACACATCACTTTTCTGTATTTTTTATAGAGTAAGGGTGACAAATGAGTAAAAGTCCATCTAATGGAAAGTGTATGCTATGGCCTTGTTTCCAGTACAAAAGGTCTCCGGTTCACTCACACACACACAGTTACCATATGAAACACAAACATTGTTATACGTAGTAGAGCCATGCTGCAATTATATTAGTAGTATAGTTGTAGCACGAATGGGTCGGCTCGACCGGGGAAGAATACCAGCATAAAATAGTCGCTTAATGCTGCTGTTTCGTATTGTGAATGTAGAGAAACAGAGACCCTTTTAACTGGAAACGAAGCATTCCATCTTAGCCCTCACGAGTGATAACGCATCCGCATTTTGATTCGTAATCGAGGATAGATGTAGATATCCATAGATAACATACCCATAGATATATAGACCCATAGGTCACAGCATGCACTTACCATCAGGTGGAATGCTCATTTGTCACCCTATCCTTTTATACTGGTATTCTGTTAGAGTGTGCTACAACTATAAAATAGCTACAGCATGGCTTTGCCGTGTTTACGATTGCAAAGAAAACAAATTCATGTGTCATTCAATGTCTGCCGCATCTTTCCAAACACAAACTATCACACCTTTTTAAATTGTTTGTTAAACTTCGAAGCGTGTCTCCATCACTTTTTATCACATTAAATGCGTCTATTATACACAGCTTTAAGTCACTAACACTTTGTGCTTCCTCTATGTACACTAATTATTTTAGCCCGGCCTACAAATAAGTCTAGAGATGTTAGATCTGATGATCTCGCCGGCCAGTTCACAGGTCAACAGCAACCTATCATCGAATTGGCTGTCCAGATATGCGCGCACAAATCGTTCCTAATGAGCTGAACATCCATCATGCTGGATGTACATTCCTTGCAGATGGCTCAGAAGAACATTTTGCAACATTGTGTCAATGACGGAACATATAATTTACAGATATGTTACTCCCATCAATCGACCTATTTATAGTATTGACAAAGAATTTATTGTTTTATTGCCGCGCATAAAAATAGGGTGGGTATGATTTGAGTTTTGATAAATTTTAATTAATTTATTTATTTCATTCAAATTCACCTGTTACACCCTATTTTTTTTTGACAAAGAAAAAAACAGAAAAGTCATCAATATATTGGGTATATACCTGATTTTGGATTTTTTACACATAAAATTATAAAGAATCGTATATTTAGAGCATACAAAACATTTTTTCATTGCATTTAAATTACAAAGAAATACTTTGGTATTTATCTTTTGTGTTGATGATGGTGATAAATGATAAAATAGCATATTTTATCAAAATATTTCAAATATATACAAGGTTTACTGGTGATTAATGGTTACCAGTAAATCACTAAACAAGACTACATCCCTGGCTATGATATCATTATATACTACAGTTTGCTTAAACACACAGACTAATATGATCCTACGCATCTTAAACATGTTCAAAAACATTTTATTTACAGTAAGAATAAAATAATACTTACTGCAATAGTAATTGCAATTAGTTTGCACATTATTAACAAATAAATATGTATTAAATATATAAGCGATTTCCTTTTTTTTTGTTGTGAACTACTGCAAATTCGCTCAGCCTGTCAACACAGTTATTCCTTCTCTTTCTTTTAAAAAAGAGACAGTCGGGAAAGATTTATTGTGAATCTTTTATTATTGCCTTGAAATAAAGTCTAATTTTATGTAATATTAAAAATGTGTTTGTACATTTATTTATTGAAATTTATATGACCAAGGAGCGCATTGGGTTTCTAGTAGTGATAATACGACTTAACCGTTTGTATGTGTGCTTCCAGTGACACCGGTTTTTGAACAAAATAAGGATGACTGCCATTCTATTGTGTATTATAGTGTTTTATGGAAAAAAACATTTTAATTCTGAACTATTGAATAAAAGTCATTTTCGACCATATTATATATGTAAGGGACTATTTTATTACCCTGATTTTTTAGAATGCGCAATAAATCAAAACTTGCTGTTCCAGAGTACACTCATTTTTGGGAATTATTATTCATAACAAGATTTCCTGTTATATTACCGAGTTGCCTATACATAAATTGAAAGCACATATAAAAAGTATTCTTGAGAAGAAAGGATTTTATGCTATCTGTAAGAATGCATAAACATAATAGACTTCCATACATTTTTTTGACTTAAGTATATAAATTAATAATATTAAATTGTAACTGGTGGGAGAAAAACAATTCACATGTAGGCTTCTAGCCACTTTTTCTCAATAGATCTCCTAGCAGTTCAAAAATGCTATTTGAAAGCCAATTTTGAATAATAATATTTAACAGACTTTTTCTAAAACACTCAACTCAAACACAAAACACTTGTAGTAAACAATAATAAAAAACAGAATAAAATTATATTATAACGTAGTAGATATAATTTTCTTAAACTTTTATTAATTAATACGAGATTCATAAACATTAACAATTATAGCAACAGTTACTTACTAATATACGTAAATAGAATGTTTTTTTTTTCAGAAACAAGCATTTGATATTTAAGCAATCGTTGTAGCGTATGCTACAAAATCAAGAACAACAAGTAAGAAAATAGGATTATCAGAAAACAGAAAAAATTCTAATTTTTATTTTTATTTTACATATAAATTGAGCTGTCAAAATCAACTGTGATTTGTTGTTGTTGTTACGATTCATAAATTAAGGTCAGTAAATAACTTATGTCATACAGCCTAGTCTGATGAGATTTCCTTTCCTAAATTATTAACAATAATAATAATACACCGTACCCTCTAATTAGTCTGTGAATAAAAGTTATGAAACATGGAGTAAAGAGGTAGAGTGCGCGCAAGATAACTCTGCGCGCGACCAATACAGATGGGTCTAAAATTAATAAGCTGCTAAATTAACACAGCTAATTTTTTTAAGTGTCAACATAAATAAGTTCTGAAATTGCTGTTAAATTTAGCAGTCACAACTCACAACAAAACAATAATGGTCTTGCTGGCTGGACATGGACAGTGCTCTCATCCGCACAAAACACGGACGCCGGATATATATTTGTCTCGCTTTATCCCACTACTGCAGACCGCAGGCAGACGCGACGGCAACAACAAAGAAAACACAAACTAATAAGAGTAGATACTAACGTAAAAAAGGACACACGACGCACGTGTTCCGTTTCCGTCTCTATTGAATTGTTTTCAACATAGTGATTTATTTAGCAACTACTAATTTTGTATTTAGTGTTCAGTCACAGTTAGAATGTTAAGGTCGAGCGAGTTCATTTAATTAACTGCTAAGTGCTAACTGCCGAATTTGGAAATAATTTATTATAATATTTAACTAGTGTTAAATAAAGACTGATTTTCGTTACGAAGGTTTATGCGAGTTTTTTATCTAGGTAGTAGGTAGGTAGTTAGTGTTGTGAGTGAAAATTCCAATTGTTTGACTGTTTGTGTAGTGTTGTTTACGTTTGAAACAGAATACTTACAAATTGGAAGAAAACAACTAAAATGGATATACAACGCCAAAAAAAAGGTGAAATATGGAACTTTTTTACGGATAGCGATACCGTAAAAAAATTGGTACGTGTAATTTGTCATTAACAATTATCATTTTTAAATGGAAATAAAAAATATATAAAATTTTAAGATATGTTATGTTACTAAGTGATAAGTAGATATAAGAAAAAAAACAAAAGATAAAAAAAAAAACAAGAAAAAAAAAGATAATTATATACAAATTACGAATACCAAAAAAGCAGATATGAAAAAAAGAAATCGTTGTAAATAAATTGATTCTCATTATAAATACGCCAACAGAAAAAGTTGACAGTCCTAAGCCTGTGAAAAGTATGAAGGAAATGAGAATTAATTATGTGTTAAAAATCTGTCTGTGACTAAATTTAACAGTTGCTAAAAATAACTGCTAATTTTAACTGTAAATTATTTCTAGCATTAGCATTTAGCAGTGTTATTATTTTTTAACGTTTAAGCCCATCTCTAGCGGCCAAAATGTGCCGCCATCTTACTGTTTATGTCAAGTGTCAAAACAGAGTGGTAGGTGTCCTGTTTTTATTCTTTTTTGCAGTAATTAATCGTTATCATTATGCCGAAAGTGATTAAAAGTGCTGGCAGGGATGTTATTTTGAAGGTCAAACGTGCTTGTGAAGAAGAACGAGACAATAACGGGCCTATAGTACCGTTTTCCAAAGTTAGAGCCCGCGTTGCATATTTAACAGGTAATTTTTAGGGATGCCATTACAGTAAAATTCCCCAATTTTCTCTATTTATTCCTTTTTAATTTCCTCGTGTCATTAATATCATGTATTTATAATGCATTGTTTTTATTTTGTTTTAGGTATTTCTAAACGCACCGTCACCCAGATAAGTCAAGAGGGTAATATAGCAGAAGCTTCATCTTCTAAAATTGTGACGCCGGGAAAAACTAGGAACCGAAGGAAAAAAATTTATGATTTAGACGATTTCGATATGTGCGCTATAAGGCATTTAATTCAATCATTTTACGTCGTGAAGAAGGAGATTCCTACCATAAATAAACTTTGGTTGGAATTGAAAACTGATATTGGTTTTAAATATGGCAGAACATCGTTGAGGAGTATTTTAAAGACTATGGGCTACAAATACAAAAGGTGCCAGTCTAAACGAAAAGTATTGGTAGAACGCAGTGATATTGCAGCTTGGAGAGCAAAATATATTCTGAGGTTGCGCAAGAATCGTCAGGAAGAAAATCGACCGGTAATTTATGTTGACGAAACGTATATACATGCTTCATACCACCTTCAAAAATGTTGGCAATCGAAGGAACAGCCTGGTATTCTTGCTTCTGATAGCGTCGGTGCAAGATGGATAATAGCCCATGGTGGAGGTAAAACTGGGTTTGTTGAAAACGGACTGCTGCTAT